AATAACTAAACTGTAAAGAATTAGCCATTTAAGCGGGAAGGTGGAATCCACAAATGCAGACCACCGTGACAGACTTCTATTCTCCAGAAAATACTCTTTAAAAATACATTTGGAATAAAAGCTAAGAAGAGGGGCCACCAGCTACGGAGGAAGGGTGAGAGTGTAGACAAGAAAGGGAACAGTGTATTAAGGAAGCCGACTGGAACCATGCCTCATGTGTGAGTTGTAACTGGAGAGCTAAACAATATTTTATTTTGTTGTACCTATATGAGCTTAAGTGTTGGTGCCATTAGAATCTATTTTCTGGGGGACATATTTCCTTTTTCTATGTATTAATTTTTAAGTAATCATTGTAGGAAAGCAGAGAAGAGAAAGATGAAAACTTGTTTCTAGGTTTTTCTTTTTATTTTAGAGATAAGCTAATTCAACTATTCAGAATCTAGACTCTTGCAGAGATGTTTAAAAGCATCCCAGTATATTCTGGTTGATTGAATTTGTTGGTGCCGGGTATATTCAGTGGTAAATATTTCCTTCTTGGAAGTAATTAGATTGCTTCCACTGCACAATGTGTAAAGTTTTCACTCTAGCCAAGAGTTTGAAGCCAAATGGGGGTGTGCCAGATGAAAACAGAAGAAAGGGAACAACTGTGGTGATTGCTGTTACAGCAGTGAACACTTCACCACATCTGGACTAGCAAAATGAAGAAAACTGAAACCCCTTCTATTACTCACCAAGATGATTATGTGTCTCCTTGAGAAACTTATTATATTATTGGTTTAAAATGTTCCATGTCTTAGAAACATGTCAGCTTCAATAATCATAGATACCTCTTAGCTCATTTTTGAAGTAAAAGATACCTGCAGAAGGTATTGCTTTTACATTGCTTAGTTTTTTTATTTGGAGAATTTTGGTCTTTAGGCCTGGCATACAAGCCTAGTTAAAATTTATGTGTAATCCGAATATAAATTTCAATCCTTATGCCTAGGTTGTGTTCATAATTATAAACTACTGCAAGGAAATTACCCCCAAATAATTAATTGGTCGAATGGCTGATAACGTATTGCTTCTCTAAAATCATTCCCCCGGTATAGGTGGGGAGGAAGCCCTCAAATGCCACCATCAGGCATTGTGAAATTCAGCCATTCCCGTGTACACTCCAGAGATGTGCTTCAGATAGAGAACAGTCAGTCTGGGGGACTCTTGCTCTAAAGAACAAAGGACAAATACAGTCAATACATTCTGTAACCTTTACATTTCCTTTGCTTTCCTCTCTCTTGGTTTTCCCTGAGAAGGAGTGACCTGGGCAAAGTACTGTGCTCTCTAAAAGACACTGTATAGACCTTTTAGAACCGCAAAGTCCAAGGCCGAGGTGAACTTCAGGTCAGCGCGTCTAACAAATATGAAAATGTCGGCTGGTGAAGGGCGCGCCTTGTGATTTAACAAAGACTGTCAATGTGTAAGATTAATAAGAAACAAAATGCACACGGTGTCACTGTTCGGTCACTTTGAAACTTGGGACAGGGTTGCATTCAAGAGGAAAGGCTGCTTCAAATATATTCAAAATGATTCAAATCAGATTCAAACTAGGCTGCAAACACTGCCTTCCTCTCGCCCTCCCTCTCCCTTGGACTCCCTTCGCTCTTCTCCATCTGGGATTTGAGGACATGATGAAAAGTTATTTCACTTAATGGGATTCTAAGAAAGCTTTTGTTGGGAATATATGTTATCCCTGCACGTGGAAATGAGAAAATGTGCATACCAGTTTCCCGAGAAAAGGATGATGCTTTCACCCTGCTTGGGACTGGAGCCAGTTGGTGTGCGAAGATTAGCATGCTCCCTTTCTGCTCCATTTCAGAGCATCCTATCTTTTTCTCGGGCGAGATGCTGCTGGTAAACTTCATTTTATTTATTAATTTAGTTTCTTCCTGGCTTTACTTTGGTGTCTTCGATTTTATGTAAAGGCAAGAGGTTTTTTTAAAAAATGTTTTTCAAAAGATTATTTGATTCAATGGAATGATGCTATGGCTTGCACAGAGAGATTGTGGAAGGATCAGAAAAGGTACTGAGATTGTTTATTACAACCATAAATCTTGCAGTAAAATGTCAAAATGTCGGTGTGTGAGATAACACTTGGTGGTCCTGGCTCCGTTTGTGTTTATGATACGAACCACAAAGACAAGTTACAGGCCTTGGGGGATTCCGTGTAAGCCCATCTTCCTAAAGTAATAGAACCACATGAAACACAGGCGCAGTTAACTCGTTTAGGTTAACCATATACAAAACAGTGTCCGTGCCTTGTTAATACTTTAAAACAGAAAGCTGGTAGAAGGTTCTGAGGCTAAACAACATGAATTTTGCATTTTGTGCCTGTAAATAATATTAAACAGACATGCTAAAGACCCAGTACTCAAGGCTAATGACATGAGGAGGACGGCAAAATTTCCTTGTCGAGTTTTTTTCTCTCCCTGAAGCTTAGAGTCAAGTTTTGTAAATTACATTGTGTATGTATACATTATTCATTTTATATATATTCAGGATATATGTATATGTTATTTTTTCTTGCTGTAGAGAGATACTGGTTTAGGCAGCTGTATCACAGGCTAGATTCTTCCCCGAGTTTGGAGAGTATGTCTGAAGATTACACTCAGCATCGATTTCTGTCTGTGGCTCAGATTTCATTTAAAAAAATTTTCAGGGTGTCCCACGACGATGGACAGCACTCTTCACAGACACACAGCCAATGTGGAAAACCTCTTTGTACCACTTCAGGGTGATGCCAGTTAGAAAGCTAACATGATCCCTTTTTTAACCTCTTTTCCTAAATAAGTTTAAAGATTAGTCCCTTATAATAGACATTATGTGGCAAAGCATTAAATGACTATCCATCAAATGGATATTCCAGCATTTAGTAACTCTTATGAGTAACTGATGTAAATGAAGATAGAATTGACATTCCTTTTGAAGTGTCTCCAGGGTTAGGCTATAACTTTTCTCGTCTTTGTTCCAGACTCAGTTGTGAGAAGGCTGTTTATACTGCTCTTTGAAAAATCAAATAAGGTGTACTATCTGAAAAAATCCTTGCTTTGCATGCCAAAAATGAAAGTATTTTTAGAATGGTGACTATGTTAGTTTGCACTGCTTTAATCTGGGTTGAATAGTAGAAGATCTAGGTGTGTCTGTTACCCAGAAAAGGAAAGGGAAAGTACACAGTAAGGCATCAGCATTTACTTCAAAGATCAACATTATGTGGAATTAATAAGTAATTTATTTGTTAATAATGATGTAATTAGTTTACCCATCAAATTTCAATTACCAAATGGCAGGCAACAGTCCTCTCTCCCCCTTTCTAGAGCTACTATATCGTTAATATGCTAATTTTTAGCAATTTAGAAATTATTGACTGTGCTGTAAATATAACTTTAGCTTCAGATTTAATCTGAGAAAGCAACATCCAAAAGACAAAACATAAAATTCTTAGCTGGAAAAGACCCGTAGGCGATCAGACTGGGCACAGTGCCTATTCTATCCTTAGCCTGTTTTTGTTTGGGAATTGTTCTGAAATCGGGTTTCGAAGCTCGATTTTGTGGAGGCGTCGCTTTTATACATTCTCATCCTTGGGCCACGTTCTTTCTCACAACTGCACAGAGTAAATGCGAGCCTGTTTAACTCTCATAGACACCTCCATCAAATGAGATGCTATTAGGAGGTTCTGATTTTTCTTAGGGAAAAAAAATAGATTGTCTCTAAAAGAAAGGAAAAATAAATAGTGCCCATCCGGTTTTACTGGAATGGCCTCGCTCAAAATCCTCCCGTTGCTCACCCACCCCATGCAGCTCCTGACCGGCTTCTCAAAGCTGGGCGCGGACGCGGCGAACACGATGTGGGGAAGGGGATCAACTGGTGAGAAAACGGGACCGTTTTATTAGGCAGCCAGGATGAAAACGAGGATACCCTCTTGATCCCGACAGCATTCCTTCCCCAACTGGCTCCGAACCCTGAAGGATGCCAGGCCGAGTTAGGCTGGGCCGAAGGTCAGCACTGGGCCGCGGGCGCCCGGCTGCCCTAAGACCTAGCCCAGGAGTAGGGCACAGCCTGGGGTCCAAGAGGACCTGAAGCCTGGCGAGCCCCGAATTCCCAGCGGGACTAAAAGTTGGGGGTGGGGATTTGGGGGACCAAAGCGTCAGCTCCCTCCCTCCGCCTGGGGCCGGACAGCAGCATCCATCACCTCCCGCGCGCTTCCTGATCCGGGTCCGCGCGCGCGGCGCG